ATTACTATTCTTTTCATGCATTTACTCATTCCTATCCTAGAGTAGTTTGAAACTGTGTATAAATATTCTAAAATTGGATGCTAAGTCACAATACTAATTGAAAACTAGATGCATTTTGTTTTAGTCCCCATATCAATTAACTACTTGTTTGGCCACTATGCCTTCCTTTTCACCATTTTGTTGCTTTTCAATAGATATATGGTACTACCTCATATTGAATGGGAGGTAAAGGTGGATAAAACAATTAATTTAAAATCCATGTTAATTTTCCATGCATTTAATCATAAATCTGGTCTACTAAGTGCTACATTATTTCTAAGATTTACTTTTTAAAGTATACAAATCATAATATTGCAGTTAACTCATAGTTGTAGGATTCAGGAACAATCTACTAGCATTACATAGATTTTCCCATGTTTACTAAAACTGAAATTTCTGAGATGCATGGTACATCCATGAGAACTCTATTTAAGGCATTTAATTAAGTTTGTAGACAGTCGTGGTTATAAAGATAAGATTTGAAATGTTAATGTGGTGCACTCTAAGAGCCTGGAAATGAAAAGGCAATTAATGCTCATATTATTTTAGATAATGATTTTATCTGAGCCTGGGATTTGCAGACAGTTAAGACTGGTAATATTTTTCCTCCCATGGTTTTTGTATTGCAAGAGAAATTGCACACAGATGAGGGAATAAAACAAAATATGTACATGCATAAAAATTATTGCTTTTCCTCCCCCAGGTTGTACATTTGAAGGTAGACAGTACCAAGAAGGTGAGGAATTTCAGCCTGAAGGGAACAAATGCATCACGTGTGCTTGTATTGTAAGTCTTTAGCATTGTATCAATGTACATGACTTTTAAAAGACATTATATTGTTGTTATTAGTTGCCAAAACAGAAGCAGTAGTGTGATATAAAAAAAAACCCAGCCAAAAAACCAAAACCCTGAAACTCAACAAGAGAGAGTAGGTTTTATTTTATCTTAAATTAAAAAGAATTCAGCAAAATTTGTATATTTAGAATAATGTGATAAATGAATTAAATTTGCTGACAAATTTGTAATGATTTGTTAGACATCTCAAATCTTGCTGAATCAGAGTCAGTTCGTGGTTGTAAAAACACCACTGTGCACGTGGTGCCATTTCACATAGTTGTGTTTTTGTTGTCATTGTGTGCCTTCAAGTCTTTTCTGACTTGTGACCCAAAGCAAAAGCTATCATGCAGTTACAGTGTATAATGCTATTTATATGTGTAATATATTCATATGGAGGTTGACTAGCACTCCCTTACACTTCTTTTTGGTCATCAATAGTGCACATAACTCAAGAGTTTTAGGATTAGGAAAGCCCCATTTTAATCTGACACACCTAGAAGAAGGAGTCAATGTGGTAGGTTCAGAAATAAGCTTTGACTTGAAACCATAGTGATTTGGTGCTTGTGAGTTCAGTGATCTGATTCAATAAAAAGGCAGCTTGTGCATCGTATAACTTGCATTGACGTGTACAAGTTTTGATTTTCTTTTTCTCTTAAATTTAATTTATATCAAGTGTCTTCAGAAGGGCCTCCAAATAGCAGAAGATAAAAGCACAGTGCCGTCTAATGCCTTTGTCTTGGCAACTTTGCCCCTGGCACAGGGATGTTGTGTAACTTATAGGATCTGGCCTCTGATGACTTCAATTAATCATTCAGCACAAAGAGATATAACGCCAGTTTAGATCAGTAGATGTGTGTTTTGCTTTTGCCTGGAGTGAAATTGGTTCTGTCTCCTCTCCAGCACCACCTTAACTTCATCAAACAGAAGTTGCACGTTGATTAATATGATTAATAAGTTGCCAGCTCGTGAGTGTTTTTCCCCACCCCTTCTATTCCTACCCAAATAAAGCTGGCAGAGAAGGAAGAGCTGTTTTTTTGTTAGTAAAAACAAAACTTTCATCCAATTTAAGAGCAATAAAGGCCTTCTCCTTCAAGTCATGCTTGTCTTGCCACTGCTATTTTCATTACTCCTCAGCCTCTCCTACTTATTCTCCTGTCTATTAGGTTCCACCTAGGCAATTTAGTTTGCATTAGACGTGTGGAGCTATCACAGAGCTTCTTGCAGTTGATTTCTGTCTGTGCTTCAGTCGGCCTCCCTCCCCCTTTCTTAAAAACAAGGTTACAACAGCGAATCTCTTATCAAAAAAGTAGGGTGGATGTCTTGTTTCAGATACCTATCTAGTCATGCAATAATATGGGAACTGACTTGTGAGTAATGTGTTGCAACATGTGAAGACTATTAGATGAAAGATATTTTTCCCCACCCCTAATTAACTTTCCAATGTGATTTGAGATTGTACTTGTTCAGCATGACTCCTGAATGGCAGCGAAGGGGGGGGGGCAGTGGTAATGGAGGAGGACCAGGGAAATATTTCTGCCAGAATTTATTTCCTCTTTCAGTTTTGGCAGCAGGAGAAGAGACGGAAAAACACAAGATAGTTTTGTTCAACTATAAACTTCAAATCTGGGGTATGTCTGACTGCCAAAGCCTAGAATAGCATACCACTTAATTAGAACAAACCAGAAAGATCAAGCATAAAATTATTCATTAAAGTTATACATTTTAACACAGCAGTGCAGGTTTTTACTTGCCTTCTTATAGAGAGACAACAAAGTATGAACTACTCCTCTCCATGTTCTACATGTGCTGTGTGTGTGTGGTGAGGAGGTGGTCTCTTCAAATTGCATGTCAATTTATGGCAATCCTATGATTTTTATAGGGTTTTCTTGGTGCCTTTAGGGTATTCAGACCTTCTGCCTAGGGTCCCCCGTTCTGTGCTACCACAGTGTGATTCTATTTACAAATATATTTCATGCTAGAATTGACAGCGAACTCGGATATATATATATATACTATTTTTTTCAATTGGGGAAATTCAACATCGTTCTATAGCACTATGTAGGCAGTTTTAAGAATGATGGGAATTGCCTTATACTGAGCAGAGACTATCTAGGTGCTTTTTGTAACTCTATCTAGAGTTGTCAGGGATTCAGTCTGGAATCTCTTGCATATCTATCTGTTATGAAGTTGGAGCTCTTTCTTTTTCTTTTGTTCCTTAGGCTGATTAGGCTTTAATGGACCACAGTGGTTTGGAAGTAGGAAACAAAGAAGCATCCACATAGTTGATATTGTTGTTCTGCTAATGCCAATATTGAAAGTTTAGAGCAGAATCCAAGAATATCTAGACCTGAGTTAGCATCTCAACAAGCTGAGTGAGTATTACCTGTATTGAGATGTAACATGCCAAGTTTGTTGTTTATTCATTCAGTCGTTTGTGACTTCGTGATCTCATGGACCAGCCCATACCAGAGATGCCTGTCAGCCATCACCAACCCCAGCTCCTTCAGAGTCAAGCCAGTCACTTCAAGGATTACATCCATCCATCTTGCCCTTGGTCAGCCCCTCTTCCTTTTTCCACAGCATCATTACCTTCTCCAAGTTTTCCCGTCTTCTCATGATGTGACCAAAGCACTTCATCTTTGCCTCTAATATCCTTCCCTCCAGTGAGCAGTCGAGCTTTATTTCCTGGAATTTCCTGGAATCTTCTCGCGATCCAATGCACTCTCGGAATTTTCTTCCAGCACCACAGTTCAAAAGTGTCTATCTTCCTTTGCTCCACCTTCCTTATGATCCAGCTCTCACATCCATAGATTACTATGGGGAATACCACTGCTTTAACTATGTGGATCTTCCTTGCTAGAGTGATGTCTCTACTCTTAACTGTTTTATTGAGATTGGTCATTGCTCTCCTCCCAAGAAGGCCCAATTTTTCATTTGACTCAGAAAGGTAAGAAAGGAATAGAGAGGGAGTGGAACTTTGCTCTTCCCAGTAGTCTCTGGCAAAAACAAACTAGCTTGTTTCTTCCTCATTAATACGTTTTGCTATCATGGCCCATTCTGATATTTCTGTCTAGCCACCCATGTCCCAGTTTTCATCTGTGAAATATTGTAGAGTATGTTAGCCGCAATGACTGGTACCCAATACAGAATTTGTCAGTGCATGGCAATTCATTTGAGAATTGTCTCTTTCCCCAGATTGGATTCTTTTCTCTGCCAATACTCTAATCTTCTAAAAGAATGAAAATTGCAAATAATGTAACCTTGTTTTTATTAATAGACTACATCTTCATTCTTCTGCCTTTAATTCTTCCATGTCCAAAGTTATTGATTTATGACCCTTTCTTCAGAATCCATGCCTCCAGTGAGTTCAGCAGAAACTGGACTAAAATCACTTCAATGCATCCAGGTTTAGTATCCATATGTTGAACACTAATTGTTGGCTGTTACTGTAGTCTAGATAGTATTTTTCTTTCTTGTGGCAGAGAGTTTCTTCATTTATTCTTCCCTGAGCAAGCCAGTCCTTTGGGTGACTTCACAATTTCCTGATGTATACTAAAATGTGTAATCCCTTTCATCCTTCACATCTTGCCTTTCAGTCAGTGAGTAGGCTTTAAATGGCTGTGTCTCTCTGGGGAAGTACATTTATGTGTGAAAGAAGGGCAGGGTTATGAGGATCACTTACTGAAGCCCAGCTGTCTTGCTGAATTTGTTCATCTACCATTAATGCACAGCACTTGCTCTAAAGACACCAATTCAGGTTTCTTGGGAAGCCTTGGCTCCCCTCCTGCCCTTGCTTCACCTTGAAGTATCAACTTAAATGATGGACTGGTGATATTAATCAGGTGTTATTCTTCAGAAATCACATTTACAAGAGCTTGAGAAGGAGCCCGCCTGGCTGTACAAAGAGGAGGAGTGCAGAAACTCTTGGCTTTCACATGTACTTTCTTGCAGCCTATATTAAGCAGCCAGATTCCAATTATCTTATTACTCCCCCCCCCCATCCTTTTGATGTAACTGTTTTAAAATAATAAAAAATAGAGCAGGCTTGGCAAGTAAAGCAGCTCTCATGTGAGGGTGGTAACCATGGCAAAGTTTATTGTCAAATAAGAGTATTCCAAACCCATAACCAGGCTCTTTTAACTGCAGAGTTTCCCGCATTCCCGTGTTACCGAGACTATAATCTTTATAAGTACTGGCATGTGAAATATTTGGAGGTACGAGGTACCACCATGCTGTGAGGTGAGGCAGGGCTTTTGAGTGGTTTCAGAGAGGACCATTTTATTTTCTGTCCCCAGCCGGCAGTGGGGGAGCAAGGCAAAATAACACACTGATCTATAAAATGACCAAAGTGTGTGTGTGTGTGGGGGGGGGGGAGGAGGATGTTAAATTACATGATTGCCAATACAGCTGAATGTTGTACTTTAAAGCTAAGTGAATTGGAAAGGGGAGATGTTATATTTTTGTTTTAATGAAAGGTGCTGGGGGAAGAGATATTAAATTTAGATATTCAATGGTACCTTATTTCCCATCAGCTTGGCTATTAATCAAAATGAAATGATATAAATTATTTGCGAATCACCTTTAGGGCCTATAGCTTCTTTAACTTGCAGCTAGTATGGTTATGCATCTAGACTAGAGAAGTCTGGAAGCTGTAATCCTTAACGTAATGGTGTAAAGACAGTGGCATATGTCAGGCATGGCATTGAAGTGAAAGAGGGGGCAGCACCAGTGGAAATGACAAAGACATCTCCAAGTCTCCCATTTCTTGGACGTCTGAATTTGAGGGATAGGGTTAGGATTAGGGGTAGCTGGACAATCCTATTGCAAATATTTGAACAGTAATATAAAGTAAAGAGGACTATGTTTTCTAAGGCAGGATATTTTGATTCAGTGTTGGAAATTTTTAATCATTCAGATGTCATTCAATTCCATTGCCCATCCTTCCTGAG